GCCACAAACGGAATCCAGTTAGCTGCGTCAGTCGGAAGAGCAAACAAAGGGGGCTTCAAAAGGGGGAAGGGGCAAGGGGCTTAGGGGGTTTTCAAAAACGGCTAGACGCCCTGTTGGCTTAAACACTTGACTTGCCCCATTTGCTGCCGGGGTGGTGGGTGTTGCTATTGCAGTTGATGTTGCTGCTGCTGCTGCTGCTGCTCTTGATGTTGCTGGTGTAATGAGCAACCACTGCAACTGTTGAGCTGGCAAGTGAAGTGCTCATCATGACAGCTGCAAAATGCAAGGCGAAGATGATTTATAATTGTCATAGACTTCCTGGTTTTGTTGTTTAAACGGGCGATGAGTGAAAAGCCGAGCACTGCCATCACGAATCATATCCATGGCAGATACATTTCAGCACCTGCTGCCAGCAGTGCTCATGATGGCACTCCCCCTCGAAGACGGAGAATCTGCAGGAGGATTTAACTAGACAGGCGGATGACGGCTATTCAAAATTTCAGCAGTCTAATGTTTACTTATTTAAAGTCGATTTAAAACAAGTATTACATTTTTAACATGAATAGAAAAATATTATTTCATTGGATAAACAGTTTTAGGCTTTGATTAAATAGGCAGATGGCTTAGGATGGCTTATACCTATTGAACGTTCATAAAATCGTATATGAAAATAAAATATTTTTTTTAGGTCATAAATAGATTGAAAAATCTTTTCATCGAAATTCTTAAACTGTTTGTTTGAACCAACAAAATATTTAAATAAAATTTACCGGAACCAATTTAGGTTTGTTCACTTCAGCCTTTAACGAGTTCAAGTTATTTTGGCAAAATCAAGTTTTCTCTTAATGCTTATATTCATCAAAAGCTGCTTTGATTTTGTATGTTTATGTCAATATAAACATTTTATTGATGCTATTATGAATGCTTTTAAATTGAGTTTAAGGTTGAAAACACTAGCCTCTTGAAAGATCTTTATTAAAGCCATATAAAACGATTTAAGAGACACGCTTACAGTCATAAATGTATCAATATATAGTTCAAACAAATGAGAGCTACACATTAAGAATAATTAGTCAGCAAAAAAATGTAATGGCTCATTCCCGGATTTATTACGCCACTGGAGCAGTGGCTCAAATTCCGTTTCCTTCAGTTGGGAGCAGTTCCGCATCCAACAATAGCCACCGCAAATGGCCAAGAGGCAACCGACTTATGCAACTCCAGTCAGCCGACGACGGCTAGGCAATGGCGGGCAATTAATTTAATTGCAAACGGCATGAGAGCACGCCACGCCCTGAATTTATTTTAATTAGCCCGATATTCGCTTCATTATATTTACATACATCAACTGCAGCCCCGGCGACCCGGCCAAGCGAAGCGCAGCGCTGCCCAGAAATAGTTCGGTCTAATAAGTGGCATTTATAATTTTATTGACTGCCAGGCCAACCCAGCGAACAGCACCAAACAGCCACAAAAGATTGCGGGGCGATCGATTGATGGCGAGTTCTGAGATTCAGTTTTGAAATCCGCTGCAGCAGAAGCGCCGGCGGCTCTGAAAATTTGGACATATGCCAGTCTGTGTTTTTTTTTTTTTTGGCCAGGTCGATACTAAATTTTTCGACATTAGTTGGCAATTTTTGCTGTTGCCCAAAGCTGTCACGCCGACAGAACGTCAAGGAGAGATCACAGAAATGGGAGAAACTTTTATTTTTAATAGGGAATTTCGAGTGCTCTCATATGAGATTCCACAAAGATAGAGACTAAATAACACTTTTTCAAAAAATAAACGACCATTCAAAGAATATACCAAAATTAACTCAAGAAAGGATTTGACTATAATTTGAAAAAATGTGGTCTTAAAAACTATATTGTCTTATAAAATTGTCCTTAGGATAATAAAATCTTGGGGGATATATAAGGAACTCAAATAGTAAATAAAATGACGAAGGAGACTTAAACTGAATATATAGGATACAAATATTTATAAGACTTTTTAAGGGATCTAAGGTCAAAAAGTGTTAGTTTACCCTTATGTTAGAGGAATTCCCTTAGAAATGCAATGCCTACTTCAAGCAACTGGAACTGGAACCCCTTTGAAAGGGTACAAACCCCAAGAGCCACAACACATTTGCCACATTTTGACTTCTCGTCAGAGGGCGATGTTGTTCCGCTGGCCGGGGCAGTGTTTGCTAAGCAGGCACACTTCGAGCCGGATCGGATCTGGTCGGAACGGAACGGATCTGAGCGGAATGGAATAAGGCTGGCTGACTGACTGGCTGGATGGCTGGATTGGCCCCAGACCCTGACATATTCCTCGTTGACGGAGCACGACTTGGCATGGAGGAGCAGGAGGGGCTCCAACGCCCTGGAGCCGATCCAAGGCGGATCGGGGGCATCATTATGATGTGACTGTGACGGGCGGGCAACCTTTCGGGAGGGGCTGTGCTCGCCCTGCATTTGCAACATTTTCATTTTCGTTTTCGTTTGGTGGCTGGGCTCTTTTCGCTGCCATGTGGCACATTTATCAGAAAATGCCCACTGACATTTGGCCAGCCACTTGAACTGGGTTAGCAGTGCAGCGCGGCTCAGCGCTCATTAATTTTATTTGTTGCCAAAAAAAAAGGGAAAACCGAAAAAAAATGATTACTTGGCTTGACCCCGGGGCATCACTACAATCCGGATTTCTCAATACGCAATTTCTGTACGAGATTTCGAGATCTACCAAATTGAATTGGACAACGGATCTGATCGAATCGATCAGAATGTGTAATTAAAGGGCGATTGAGAGTCGAAGGGCGGTCCGGGCCCTAATGAATGCCGGCTGCTAATTAAGTTTTTAATGATCCACATTTGGGGCGTACAAGCTGGCAAATCAATTAGCGCCCGCAGCCGTCTAACAATGTGGTGAACAAATGATTTTGGCCCAGACCGAAATGGTTTTGACAATTGCAGCCGAACTACGCCCAAACGCGGAGCGCAATCTCTGATGTAATCTGTGGCCAATTGGCGTCGTTGGCCTGAAATATGTTTTATCGCATTTATTATCAGCTGCACCAAATCGTCTATAATTGAAAAACTGTTAACTAGATTAGCTGCCATTAGATGGAGCGATCGGGGGGCCGGCCAGGCCAAGTGGGCTCCAGTCTCTGGGTGTCTGTCTCTGGGTTCCAGATCCATATCCAGTTTGTGGTCCACCGCCGCTGTGGGAGATAAAACTTTAATCGACTTATAGACTCGGCCAAAATGGCGCTGACCAGGTACATAAATAAAGTGCGGCTGCCCCAAAGGGACATGCCATCCATTCTCCGTTTTTCTCAAATTTTCTTTATTTATTTAAGTGCCACCAAATCAGACTGCTCTTTGAAATCTAATTAAGTTGTTTAAGTGGAATTTGTGGCCATAAAATTATGCAAATCGGCCAGTGGTGCTACCCCACTCGATAGGCATACTCTGCGGATGCATATTTGCATTGGTAATTTGCACGCCAAAAGCCCACAAAGCCTCGGGGGCCTCGGCTCTTTGGATCGTAAATCATTAGTGGGTGAGTTACGGTTACGGTTCGAATTTGTATGTTTTTTCCCCTCTCAAGCGCCACTAAAATATTGAGCAGAAAGTAATTGCATTTTATTGCAGAATTTAAGGGTGTGAGCTCTGGAGCGGAAAAGTTCTCAGGCCCCTTGGAAAGCCATTAGTTTTCGTCATAAAAATCGACTTTTACGAGTGTAAGTCGTATGATTTCTTGATTTCTTGAGGAGAATACCTATATGCATATGCCCACACAGGTGCATAAAGATGTCAACGCTTAACTTATCAAGCCAGACAAACACGAACACCGAAACGCCAACGACGATGATGCGACAACGATGTTAATACAATAAAACCACTGTAATTTCTGCTTTCGGTTTATTTGCGTGTCGCTGCTGGTCACAAAAAAAAAGAAAAAGAATCGAAAAAAATACAAGTAGCGCCCACCGCTGACCGTTTATCAAACAACAATAAACTGTAATTTATGAAAAATGCCTGTAAAATGACGATAAAACAAGTGCCACGACCACGACGACACCACCGAAAGCCAAAGCAGCAAAATGCTGCTGTGCAGATGATGATGATGACATGGACATGGCTGCCAGTCTTGGTCTTGTGCGCATCCAGTGGGTGGTGTGGATGCATCGAGGCATGCTGGAGTCATGGCGGAGTGGCCAAGAAGACAACAATTTATTTGGATGGTATGCACCTCGGGGGGAGGCCAAGAAGTACGGGGGTCGTGGGTTAGCGGGTTCGGCGATCCCCAGCTGCATCTTCACATTTGGCCCGGGCATTTGACCATTGTCAACACGCTGGTTTGTTGTTCGGCTCGCCGGCAATTGTCTTTGTGGCCAGTCGGTGAAGCTATACTGAGGTATATCCAATCATGTGTATGCTAAAAAATAAAATTTGTAAAAAATTAAATATTTATTTATGATATTTTTAAAACCATTTACATTATTACAATACTTTCTTTCCAAAATTGCATTTGACAGAAACGCAACTTTCTTCAAATACTTAGTACAATACTTCGTAAAATATGGTCTTAAATTCTCCTGGTTCTGTAAATAATCCATAAGACTTCCTTTCGTAGCTCTTACCTAAGCACACTTCCTTTCGCAGCTCCCAATAAAATGTATTTAGATATTCTGTATTTTAGGGTACCTGCTCTTCGAATACTCCCACCTGCAGCATTCTCCTCTGTTTATTTGGGTCACTCTGGCGACAGGTCAGACAAGCCACAATTTTGTGCGTCGCAACTTTTGCTTTCGAGCGTTGGCGCGAGCTCCTTTGCATTTACTATATTGCATTGTATTCAGAAACGCTTCTGCACTTGCATTCGAAATGAGTGGTCGAAAGGGTTCTGCAAGTCAGCCCTTAAATATGCTGACTCCCACAAATCGGATAGAGAACAATGGTAGCAGGGTCTTAAAAGCCAGGTCCAACCCTTCAATGTGCCACTAGTCTATCATTCAAGCATGTGGCAACAAGTGGAGTTCGTCGAGACCCCTAATTGGACTCGAGCTGAAGTTCTTCAGCGATTCTGGACACATTTAAGGGTGGAAACACAATTCCGAACTTTACTATACTATCGCTTGAGTTCTTGTGACTGCTGGCTCGAAGAGGTTTTGGGTACCACTGATAACTCAACGACTTTGCTGTGGAACGATCGGACATACCCACATTATCTGAGACACCGACAGGATATGGACATATTGGCAGTGGCTTGCCTGAGATTCGCGCAGTATAAGGAAGTTCTGCTCTCGTTGAGCATAATGCTGGATCAAATACTTAGTATGCCTGTGGTATTGCAGCTTTGTAAAGAGGAAGATCCTATTGAAGAAGAGAAATCCGCCTGGTTATTATTAAAACGAAGTCAAGAGTTAAAGATGCCAAATGTGCTGCTGGTTTCGTGGAACTTTTTCACCTCCAGGACATTTTACGCCTTTGATTTGTTTCCGGAATTAAAAGTTACGAAACTAATATATCAAGGGATTCTTACCCTTTTTCCCTATAAGCTGGGAAACCTGCAAGGACATCCCATTCGTACCCTGCCAGATAATTCTCAACCACATACCATTGTGCAAAAAATGGAAAATGGATCCTTTGACATTTCCGGTCCCGTGTGGCAATTTATGGTCGAATTCGCTCAATATTTAAATGGCAGTCTGCAGCTGCCCATGGAGCCAGTTTCTGCGAAAACCCTAAGATACGTGCAGGTCCTGGACTTGGTAAGGAACAAAACCTTGGATATAGCGGCCAGTTTAAGGCCCTTTATTCATGTGCAGCGTTCTAACACTCACATCATGGGCTATCCCTTCATGGTGGGTAATTGGTGCGTGATGTTGCCAACGGAAAGAGTAATAACCAGCCATGAGGCATGGCTCAGGTTGATGGAATCACCTTGGACCTGGCTCTTTTTGCTATGCCTCTACAGTTTGCACACCTGGTTGATCCAACGGATACGTGTATCCTATCCCACCATTCAACTGATAAAACCTTTAGCATTCCTGGCGATTATCTGCTTTCTTCAGGCCCAACTTTCAGCCTACTTTATTGGTCCCCAACAGGTTAGACATATAACCAATATGGATGAGGTAGAGCAAGCTGGTCTTAAAATTAGGGGAATGCGTGGAGAGTTCATGGAATACCCCATTGATATGAAGAGCAGGTACGCCTCAACCTTTCTGCTGCATGATTTCTTCTTCGACTTGATAAAATACCGGGATAGTTTCAATACCTCATATGGATATACAATGACCTCTATTAAGTGGAATTTATACAAGGAGGCTCAGCGGAACTTCCGGCGACCTTTGTTTCGCTACTCGCAGGACATTTGTGTACAGAAGCTCTCACTTTTCTCCCTAATTATGCAAAGCAACTGCTTACATCGCTACCAATTAAAACTGTTCATCTTCCGATTGCACGAAGCAGGACTTATTCGCCTTTGGTATCGACGATCCTACTACGTCATGTTGAGAACAGGACATTTTCGTTATGGGGACATTACCACATCACACCACACACATGCCATTCGTTGGTCGGAATGGCTTTATGTGTTGGCAGTATTTGGTATTGGGCTTTTATTTTCAACGCTTGTGTTCGTCATTGAGCTCACTGTTCACTATGTAAATGTTTACTTGCAAAACTTGTAACTTGCGTCGTGGTAGTAAATAAAAATCATACCTATAACAGGGTAAAATGGTATAGGGCTTACTGTTTTCAGGAAATTTTCGGCATTCTAAGTAAGAGAATTGTTAAGTAATGGGTAACCAAAAACTGAGTTGGTAGTCTCAGAAACTTAGTTATTTTTACCATTAATTGAAATGTAGTCCGTAAATAAAGAAATTTTCTGGCGCCTCAGTAACATTATCAGCTATTAAGCAAATATGTTATACCTTATATCATATAGTATCATCCCTAGGACAAAGTCAGTGCTCGGAGATGTCTTCAACTAGTAATACTATTCACACCAAACTCGTGTCGCTCATAAGCCGAGGTCAAGAATTGACCAGCATTTTCTTTTACGCTCCTGTAAAAGAAAAGTGTCATTTGGAGGACACGCTTTCTTCAGCCACTTGGGGACTGCCTTTGGTAATCTGGGGTTCGGATAGAACAGTGATTCTAAATGGATTTCTCGGCGAGGGACTGTTGGTGCTGGCCTGTCTTCAAGGAGTCCATTGGAGAGCTTTTCTGGGCAGCCTATCAAGGAGTTTAAAGTATTTAAGACAGGCCAAAGTACTCATTGAGTTTATGGAGGACAGAGACGAATATCTAGTCAATCAAGTGCTATCCTTTTGTCTAAGTCAGGAAATGATTAATGTTAATGCTATTTTTAACGATTTTGCGGACACCCAAATGATGAGCAGCTTTGAGGCCTATCCGCAGTTCAAGGTGGTGAACCAAACTTTTACAGAGGTTACTCAAGTGTCTGATCTGTACTCAAATAAGATGGTGGACCTACGAGGAGGTAATATTCGTACTATGCCGGACTACTCAGAGCCAAATACCATCCTCTACCAAGATAAAGAGGGCAACAAACAGATCCTAGGATATTTGTGGGACATCATGGAGGCCTATGCCCGAAAACACAATGCCCAGCTGCAAGTGGTCAATAAGTATGTGGATGACAGGACCCTCAACACTATCGAACTCCTGGATGTTGCTCAAAATGGTCTTATAGATATTGCAGCTAGTATTCAGCCAATGTCGGTGGGTGGTCTGGACCGAGTTCACGAGATGTCCTATCCGGTGAATCAGGCCAGCTGGTGCACCATGATGCCGGTGGAGAGGCAACTCGATGTGTCCGAGTTGCTATCCCGAGTGCTGCCTTATACAACTTTTGCACTACTGATTTTTCTTTGGATTTTTCATGAAGCGCTGAAGGGAAGAGTGCGACGTTATCAGAGGCTCCAGAGGATTGGCTGGCTTGTACTAGCCACATTGGTTACTTCTTACTATCTAGGCAAACTACTCACTCTCTTCGCAGATCCTCCATCCTTACCACCCATTGATAGCTTAGCCGCTTTGATAGAATCTCCAGTGCGTATAATCACTACAAGACCTGAGTTCTCTTCCATTGAGTTCACCCAGCGCACCAAATACTCGGCTGCGTTCCGTTTGACTTCAAAGACTTTGGTATTGATTGGATTGCGAAATGCCCTGAATACCTCCTATGGCTATACATTAACCAGTGAAAAGTGGAAAATGTACAAGGAGCAGCAGAAGCGTAGCTCCAGGCCCCTGTTTCGGTACTCCAAGGACCTGTGCTTCTACGAGATGGTTCCCTTTGGCCTGGTCATTCCTGAGAACTCGGCGCATCGGGGTCCTTTGCATGACTTCACCCTGTTACTTCAGCAGTCCGGGCTCCATGATTTTTGGGTGGCTAGGGGTTTCTATTATATGGTAAAAGCGGGCAAGATCCACTTGGCGGATTTCAAGGAACGTTATCGGCCTGAAACCCTGAAAATCTCGGATCTGAGACATGTTCTAGTTCTTTACTTTTCTGGGGTGTTAATTAGCTTGATTCTGTTTACCGGCGAGCTATTTGTCAGCTGGGTAAACTACTGGCTGGGCTTTTAATTGTTCACGGGGCAATTACGTCGATGGCGTTCGATAAAACCACCCGGTTCCGGTAAACCTTCAACTCAAATAATAGAGACAAGTCAGGATAAAAAAGAAAACAAAAACAAATGAATTCTTTGTGTTTTACTTCGTGACGTTGACAAGGGTTCCTGGGGCTCAAGATTTGGGCAAGGAGACAGTAGTTAACAATGCTGTTGAATGGTTTCCTACCGTCTTACACCTTCGAGCTGGGCTGGAAATAAATGCAAATTGCCTCCTACGAAGTCACCGCAGCGACACGACGGGCACCACGAAATGAGACCCCAATCGAGGGGAGATGAACCACTGAACCACCGAACCACTGAGCCATCAGACAACCGCAGCAGATCCACCAAATTATGTAAAAAACCTTGGCAGCAAACACCAGCAAATTGTGGCCTAGTGTCGGAGTTGTCTCTGTTTTTTCTATCCATTTTGGTAGGACAACTGGCCTGTTTTGATTAACATAAAGCGAATAATAGACATCGACTGGCAGCAACGTGTACAAATTTGATTTCACGATTTTGCACTATTTAGCCAAAGAAGTTGAAGCCAAAGACAACCAACACCTGCAGCATCAAGCCTTTTCGCTTTTTCACTATTTTGGTAATTTTGACAGCTGAAGATGCATTTGCGCTTCGTTTCCACGGCTGTCAATGATGTGTTGCAACGTGCATATCTCAATTACAAATGACGTCTAGTTAGGCAAATGAATCCACTCTTTTGGGAATATGAATTGGCCCAGTTCGATTGTTTGCTTTTAGAATTTAGAATCTGGCCTTTTGGAAAATCGATGTCTAGATTGGGTTTTTGGGCACGCCGGCGCAATTTATGACACACAAGAAGCGCCACGATTTGGTTGACAAATTTCCCCAAACACGAAGCCTGGGAAATGAATTATGTGGCCATGATCGGCGGGAAAATCAAGCCGAAAAGCGCTGATCTAGCGGGCCAAGACCCTCACGACATGTGAGACAATTTCCAGTCGTCGTGGCCAACAATCGACCATCGAGATTCGAGATTTGCTGCAAATTATTAAACGATCTGTCCCGGCGAAGGTCAGCGGGGGGGAATACGCGTGTGCAGACCGCAAAACTTTCTCCGCAAGACGGATGCGAGGGTGTTGTCAGCTGCCAAGAAGGATCAGGCTTAAGTCAGCCCCGGCCATAAAACCAAAAAACTCTTGGCCGGCCAAAGAGACGCCGCCTGAACTTTGAATGGCAGCCAAAACAAGTCGGGAGCTGCGATGGGTAGCATCGAATTTTAGAGACCCTTTTCCCAACCTATAAATCTTTGAACAGACTACTCAGACATTCTTTAGGTAATGTCAGTTATTGGGTTTCTTATTATTAAATAATTTGTTTTATTAAAAAATCCTTTTTTTGTGTTAAGCTAAACAGATCAATGAACGCCAAGTGCCCTTTTGTAAGGGTACTCATGTGAAGCCAAAAAATATTTCGGCTTAAAAATTCTACAGCTGCAGCTGGCCCTCTGGGTTCGGCCTGTCGTATTTTCTCTCTGGTTTCTTGTTTTGTTTCGCTGCATTTTGTTTTGTTTTCGCCTGCGTTGCGGTTGCCTTGCCCACAAGTTGAAAGGTCAGGAATTTATGGATTTTACATGGCTGCAGAGACATATTTCCAGATACGACCAATCGTAACTTTAACAAACTGGGAGCTTGCCTTGAACTCTCACTGTTCCGCAGTGAAGTCACATTGATTATCGCTGGGCAAACTTCTGATTCCCGTATTGCAATTGTCCACGGATAATTACTTGCGATAAGCATTTGATTGCCAAAGCAAACATTGGGGAGCCAACAAACGCTTCCAGTCGAAGGTGTTCTCCCTCAGTTGATTTCCGTTTCAGTGTGGGCCATGTTGTCCAACTTTAGTTTAAGTCCCGCTCCTGAGCTGGTCGAACTATATGGCCTAGTTCTACCTTTTTTAATACCCTCGGAGACCACAATGTTTTATTTTAATCCCACTGGACGGAATTGTAGTTTGGAAAATCTTCAGAGTACTTTATCACAACATCCACAGATTATTTGGCATCGCGAGGAGGCTTATCCAGAATTGTACAACCGACACAGCAGCAACATCTTTGCTATGGCCTGTCTATCTAGGAACTCCTTTGAGTGGCAGTTGAAACTTTTGGCCACCAGTTTGACCAGATTTCGATCGATAAAAATCCTCATCGAGATGCAGGCTAGGCAAAGCCAATTCCTGGCCTCCCAAATCCTGCAACTTTGCCTGGAACACAGCATGCTAAATGTGGTGATGTACTTCCCGCGTTGGAAATATATTAGAAATATCTATAGTTACCAGGCCTTTCCCTATTTCACGCTTGTGAAGCAGCGTTTATCAGGAGTATCCCCATCCAGAATTTTTACCAACCAGCTAAAGGATGTCCGTGGATATCAACTGCGAGTTCAACCCGATTTATCGCCTCCCAACTCCTTTCCCTACAGAGATAGCCATGGTGACTATCGAATAGGTGGATTTTTGTGGAAGTTTATACAGCATTTTTCGGAGAGCTTAGGAGCCGGCATCCATGTTCTGTATCCCACTTGGCCCAAAGCCAAGGTTGCATCTGAGGAATACATGGTGAAATTAACCAGGAATGGCAGCTCGGATTTCGGTCTGACCACTACCATGACTATGTATAAGCACGAGGAGAGGTATCGAGACTATAGCTACCCCATGTTCTACTCCGGTTGGTGTACCATGTTGCCCGTGGAAAAGCCCTTGAGTGTCCATACCTTATTCAGGCACGTACTGTGTCCCGGATCTGCGATTCTTCTAGCTTTGGGTTCGATTCTGTGTTTCCTGGTTATATCCCCTTTGATAAAATATTTCGGGATCACTTTTCGTGGGAGACTAATGACAATGGCTTCAAGGATATTTACCTTGATCATGCTCTGCGCCAGTTCTGCTCAACTACTCTCCTTACTAATATCACCACCGCTCCACCCACGAATTGAAAGTTTTGATGACCTCTTGGCCTCGGATTTGAAAATCTTTGGATTGCGCAGTGAGTTTTACTTTATGGATGGCGATTTCCGGGCCAAGTATGCGGCTGCTTTTCATCTGACGGACAATCCCTACGAGCTGTATGATAACAGAAACTATTTTAATACAAGTTGGGCCTATACCATCACCTCGCTGAAGTGGACTGTGATCGATGCTCAGCAGCGGCACTTTGCCCATCCAGTTTTCAGATTCTCAGAGAAGTTATGCTTTAATTGGGCCTCACCCTGTGGACTTTTGATAGCTCCGGAGTCCATTTATAGAGATCCCCTGCAGCAATTCACCCTGCGGATGGAACAGGCTGGCCTTATTAACCAATGGATGACCCGAAGTTTTTATGATATGGTAAAAGCTGGACGGATGACCATCAAGGACTATAGTCGTACGAATGTGTTGAGTCCTTTGCGGACAAAGGACCTTCAAATGTTGTGGTCTAACTTTTCAGTGGGTCTGGGCACTTCCTTCGTCGTATTCACCATCGAATTGCTTCTGTTCTACACTAACGTATTTCTCAATAGCTTGTAGTGCCTTTGGCTTTGTCATTTTCCCCAGCAAATAAAATAAATGCAAATTGCTCACCAGGAAGACACCGCAAAGACACGACCGGAGCCACGAAATAAGACTCCGAGTGCGAAGCGCGAAACAAGCCAACCACAACAGATCCACCAAATTATGTAAAGCCCCGACACCAAAGAAGCTGTCTAAGACCAACAATTTGTGGCCTACTGACGGAAAAAGGGGGTGTGCACTTAAAAAAATATTTAAACAATTTAAAACGTAAGGAAATATATGGGTTTTGTGTAAGCTTATTATTTCCCTAAAGGAAAAGGGGTTTACACTTGAATGGAAAAGTATTTATCTAATAGGCTTAGCAAGTTGTAATTCAAATAAATGCATATTTTTGGCAACCTTCATGAAACCACGTTTTTTCAGTGTAGCTGACTTTTTTTTTCTATTTTGTTAGGACAACGCAAAATCTGGCTGAGTCTGAGTTGCTGGCCCGTTTTGATTAACATAAAGCGAATAATAGACATCGACTGCCAACAACGTGAACAAATTTGATTTCACGATTTTGCACTATTTACCCAAAGAAGCCAAAACCAGCCAAAAGCAACCAACACCTGCAACATTGGCAACAACGACAAGCGGCTTTTGGTAATTTTTGACAGCTGAAGATGCATTTTCGCTTCGTTTCGTCTGTTGTCAATGATGTGTTGCAATATTGCACATCTCAATTACAAATGAGGTTTACCTCTATTTGAATAAAGGCTTCACAGATATTTTTTGAGAAGGAATTGAGAGCATTGAAGTTAACTTTTGATTTTCTTCACATGTCGACTGACAAACAAACTCTACATTTCATCATGTCTGAGTTGGGTTAATGGCTGTAAAATTCGGAATCCAATAAATAGTATTATTTAGTTCTTGTGAAATTCATTTAGTTTTCCTGTATGTAGTCGTTTCTCACACTGACTTGATTTATTTTGAAGTGGAAATCATTCTGGGCTTACCTTGGGTCCGTCTTATGACTCACCTGGCAGACCTGCTGACCCACCATCGCCACCGCGGTGGTTTCGACTGTCCAGGTGTTCAATTAAGCACTGACGTTGACCTTAATACTCGGGCCGCTGCAAACGGATTGAAAAAGTGCCAGAATTTCTGACAAATTGTCGCCGAATGTGCGCAGAAATCAAGTTTATGGTCAATGGAAGGCAGAAATAAATACGGTACACAGTAGTATGGATGTCAACCGATTCTACTCGACCGCTTAGAAAGTAGCTGGCATTAAAATGCCAGGGAAATACCAATTCCGAGGTGCTAAAATATGCATTAAAATTGCTGATGAAGCGGCTTGTTCGCTGGCAGGATTACCAAATATTTGCGGCTGCCAAAAGTCAAAAGAAATCAATCAAAATGCCACAATCGACGACGACCAACCGCAAGGCGCCAAAAGGCAACAAAAGGCAATAAAAGGCAGGCAGATCGGCCGACGGAAGCGACAGACTGACGTGTGCCCAAGACGCTTAGTGGCTGCTGCTGCTGCAAGCCAGGTTTATACCTCTTTTTTCCTTTTTTTTTCTTTGCAACATTTGCAGCATCCAGCGGCAGACGGACGGCCCCATGTCTCTAAGTGGACAACAAAACGCCTCCAACACTTTTGGGGCGCGAAAAATGTGTTTGCCAAGCTAAGCCGAGGAAAGCCAAGTCGGAGTTGGAGTCGGAGTTGCAGTTTTCCTGGCCAAGAGTGCTTGCCATTCGGGCCAAGAGTGCTTGGCTGAATGCCTAATGCAATTGCAGTTGCACTTGCAGGGGGCGGTATTAGAGGCATTCAAGAACTGAGGATCTCGGGAACACCAATGTATTCGCAAGTGTACATAAAAATAAAATAAATAAGCCCGCGCTGATCTTCATTTGTTGTTGTCGCTCAGTTGACATCGCCTTTGGCATGGCATCGTCATCGTCATCGTCATCTCCATTTCCATCTCCATTTCCCTGACATATATTTGCATAGTTTTGTCGAGAACAAAATGGCAGCAGCGAAACAAAAAGAAATTCGTTGACAAGTGTCTGTCAGGGACATCGTGCTGGGCAAATTTGCATGTGGTCGCATCTCACGCTTCAGACACAGCCCAAAAAATACTAAAAGAACAAAATCGGTAAGGAAAAGGTGAGATTACAAGGACACCGACAGGTCAAGTACCCTTATAGAGTTAACACAGCTAAGTAGTAGCGTATTATTTATAACAAAATTTTTATTGCTTCCATTGCCTTTTTGAAAAGTTTTTTTAAAACTTTCTAAGTTTAAACAATTCACCCTATTTTTTAGTAAGCAACCACATTTATTAAAAGCAAGTGTGGTTTCATGTGGTCTAAAAATAATGATTGATAAAAATAACATCTATCAGGCCGCCAAGAAACCGGAAATTAGCCTAAATATGGAACACCAAATGGGCACATCATCATAACTAGTTGTACCATTTTCGAATACCTTCTTCAAGGGTATAAACCGAAAGCAGAGAGATCCGACTTGGCTTATATATTGTGGTGAAATTGTTGTTTTGCTGTTTCCACCGTCTTTATTTTTACCGTCTTGTGTTTTGTGTGTCGATCTCAAGCGCACCTTTATGGTCTATTATACTAACGGGAATGCCCCGAGAGCAACGACAATAATAAGCAAATTGATTGAAATATGCGATATCATGGTAACCGCAACTCAAACGGAAACGGCCGCTCCCACCGCCCAACTTCCTCCGCCCAACTCCCACCTCCCCCACAACAACTACTACAATTGTGTGGTAGCGCATTAAATGTCGATTTCGTTTTGCACCCGCGGCGCAGATACGCAGCTTGTGATACGGGAAGTACGCAGTGGTGCTATATAGTGGGGCTGGTGGTTCCATTGGTGCCGGTGGTGCAATCCCGGGTCACTGCCAATGCCATAGAGGGGTGCGGCCCCAAAATCCCAGCGATGACGCCCACCCAGCCGGCCCAGTGGGCAATCTTGGCCAACTTTCCGCCGCTTTTTCGGTTGCCAAGTTGCTGAATGCCGAATTCCGATATCGATACCAATGTTAATGTGCTTTAAATAAATCATTAGCGCATTGTTTGGGGCCATAAAGAGCACAAAGGATTATGGCCAGCTGGATTGTAAGTGTTTAATGGCCCCAACGCAAGCTGGAACTGCAGTCTAGAAAGGGGAAGTGAAGGCAAAAATGTGAAATATGATATATGATATTGTATTCCTTTCTTCGGCAATTCAGTTTGTAAGCCGGCAATTATCACCTGGTGACACGCGGCTAATTAGCATGCGGTATGCTAAAAACTGGGTGCAACCGCATCTCAAACGATCTCGTAAAAAAACACGTTGCCTTTACTGGCCGAAAAATTTAAGACTCGGCCGTAATGATAACTCTTTTGGCTCGTGTGCGTTCGTCTGTCGATTTTTATTGACTTTTCATCGATTGCGAATACAAAAACACACAAAAAAGTGAAAAACCAAGGCAGAATTCTTTTTGAGCTTGCCGTCTGTTTTTGGGCGTCGAGCGTAATTAAAACGCTGTAAAAACTTGCAAAATGTGTTAACCAGTTTAGGCCGAGTTTAGCCTTTTTTCGCTCCCTAGCCATGCGTTACAATTCACAGATTTTTTGCTTCTTTAGTCGGTCTCCCTGGTGATGCAATGCCTTTAAATGTCCCCACCAGGTTTTATATATCCATATATCTCGCATTTGAATGCCGTCTAATAGATACTTTCCATTCGGCACATGCAAATGTATGATTTCCTGCCCAAGTCGAAACGGCCATAAATAGGCAATTTGGCGCTGCGGCCGTTTAACGCCGACTTCATCTGAGCAGACTCGCAACGAATCGAATCGAATCGATTATCGTGCACTTAACACCAACAGCTCTTTAACCCGCAACCGGCTGGTATACCCTTAAAGGTTTTTCTTTTTTGCCTTTTGGTTGCAACAATTTGGGGAAAATGTTTTCAATCAGAAACGAGGCGGTAAGTGCCGCAGGAGGAGGGCAAGTCGGACGATTGAGCCTTGCTCGGTGGCTTCTTGCCAACAATCAAGGCCAGCTCCCAGCTAGAGTTTTGAGCCACAGCATCATTATCAGCCTCCGTGCTGATTATCAACATGTGCCGCATGTGCTTTTGCCCTCGATCCATAGATCAAGATCATAAATAGCAATAAGCCGGCCAGACAATGTCTGCTAACTGTTTCAGGCAATCAATCAATCCATCTGCCGCTGTTTCTTCGGCCAACTTGCAACTTGAGTTTCGCGAGTGGCCGTTTGGAAAGTTCATTCAGTTGCGCTTCAGTCTCGGGCTTGCTAGACTTGGGGGAAAGGGTATAGTGGCATCGGGCTTACAGGGTACCAGCTAGTTGATTGCGGCAAGTGCTGGTCGCAAAACGTGATCGATTGATTTGCGCGATCGCTGCAAGAGCCACGGCAAACGGCAAGTTCAACGAGCCCGATTGACTGACTGACTGACTGACTGTTGACTAGATAATTGTGGCGTTCTGCGGCTGATGCCACTATATTTTCTTCTTTTTTTTCTGCACTAAACAGCTGGGGCAGACCGCATAGCTATATAGCTGCATTCCAGATCCCGGCATCGGATCTGTGGGCCAAACTGGCTGGCAATCTGTCAGGCTGACAGTTGGCCCAGTCGCACAGCTCTGCCGGCTTTGATGATTGATGATTGTTGAAACGCGAACGAAATTATGATTAAATAAGTAATTGTGGCTAAACAAAAAGCAGCAGCAGCAGCAGCAGCAGCGATGAAGACCACGATCGGCTAAATGCTAAGCGGCATGGCAGTTTGGTTTTTTTTGTTTTTGGCATTGGCCAAGTGCAGTTAGCCGGCAGCATCGGTGATTTTAGCTTGGCTCAATTGCTTGGGCATTGGCAAAAACGTCAATGTCAAAGTCGGCGATCCAAACTCTTGACAAGGTCTAGTTCAAAGTGGTCTTGGTTATTCCACCGCTGGCTAAGGTTAAAGGTTGCAAAAGCCAATCAC